GTGGCCTGTTTAGCCAGAGAGAGAGACTGATGACCTCTCCCTGCGTCCCAGGTGTCTTAGTCTGTTTAGCTGTTGTGATGAAATGCTGTAGAYGAGATGGCTTCTAACCCTAGAAATTCATTTTCCTGGCTTCTGGTGGCTGTGAAGGCTAAGATCAAGGCTAGCAGATCTGGTGTGATGAGAGTCCATTCCTCCTAGATAGCACCTTTTATGTGTCCTTGCAAAGGAAGGGATGATTAAGCTCTGTCAGGCCTCTGGGATAAAGGTGTCAATGCCACCTTTGTAGGGCTGACTTGACCACCTGCCATGGGCCCTACCTCTTCATCCTCCAATCCCACTTTGAGGATTTCAACATACGTATTTGTGGGGATGCAAACATTCAGACCATCGCACCCATTATAACCCCCTTGACTGAGTGGGAACGGAGGGGTCTGGAAAAGTTGTTGATTCCTAAAGACAGTAAGGAAGAGAGCTTGGCATTAAGAATCAGGATACCTGTGGGGTAGTAGGGGGAGGCTGTCACAGAGGCCACTGGGTGGGCAGCGCTGAGCTGGGGCTAAAGTCAGAGGTGAAATCTCAACTGGAGGATGAGACAAATAAAGTACAGCAGGCTAGACACCTAGATCCTGGAGAGAAGAATTGGAAAAAGAGAAGTGGAAAGAATCCTGAATCAACCCCATTTAATCTGGAGGACCTTGTTTTAAACCAGAAGGGACTAAGTTACCTGAAAGTTTTAACAAAGTTTCAATTATATTTTATTTCTAGAATAGCACAAACAGTTTCTCAGAAAACAGAAGAGGTGTTACATAGAAAAAGCTTCATGCCTTGACCATGAGCAATTGAGGTCCTTGGTTTTACAGTGAGAGACTAGTAACAGCTAAAAGCAGTGGGGAGCCCCCAGTACATTGTCACAGTCTTGGAAGATGAAAAGGTGACATAACAACAGGACTACTAGCAAAAATGACCCCCACCCAGCTCTGCTGTCCTGGGCAAGGATTGGATGAAGATGATTTGTATTTGAATCCATGCAACTCCTGCCCGCTCCTCTTTGTCTCTTCCCTTTCTGGATTTTCCCAGTGCTGTTGGCAGGGAAATGGGCCATTCTCACAACAGAATCAGGGTAGTAAGGAGGAATAGGAAAAGCACACAGCAAAAATATGGTTGATTTCAATATCGGGAGCTGGTTAAAAAGTGTACAAGTTAGCTTAATTGTATTATTGCAGTAGGACACTGCATTTCATCCTTATACTGGTGATAGGTCACGTTCTGGAAAGCCATTCTGATGCTTTAGTTCTGAGAATGAGGAATTGAATTCCATGCCAAAAACGCTGAGAGGATGGAGGCAACTCTTGCCCAGCCTGACAGTGGAACTCCTGTTGTTGCAACACATGCCTGAGATGATCAGCTTATGAAGAGAAAAGGTTTACTGTGGCTCACAGTCTTGGAAGGCCTAACCCATGCTCAGGTGGGCCTGTTGTTTTCAGGCAGCAAATTCTGGTGGAAACATGTCAGAGCAAACTCTCTCACCTCATGGCAGAGAAGTGAAAGAGAGGACAAAGAAACCAGGTCCCAGAATTCCCTTTGAGGGCACACACCCAATAATATGAAGACCTCCCATTATACCCCACCTCTTAAGTACCCTGTCACCTCCCAATAGCACCAAACCAGGAATCAAGCCTTTAACACACCGACTTTAGGGGATGTTTCAATACAACTGAATGTTACTGGACCAGCTCACACGTAATGCTCCACTCAGGGGCTTGGAATCTCTGGATCCTTGCTCTAGTATGATTTGTCTTGTAGGCCATCATCCCCCTCCAGGACATGGTGGAAGAAAGCAGCTCAGGACAGGGGCAATAGGAAACAACTCTGCTCACCAGGGACAACCCCCCACCCCCCGAACCCAAAGACCGGCTCTCAGTGACTCACCTCCTCCAGCCACATTCTGCCCACAGTTACCACCCAGTTAATCCATTGGATTGATGCATTGCTTCAGTTCAGGCTCWCACACTCCAATCATTTCACCTCTAAACTTTCTTTTATTATCTCACACCTGAGCTTTTGGGGGATGCCTCTTGTCTAAAGCAAAACAAAGGATTAGTACAATGCCCAACTTAAAATTCTACACCAAGACACAGGAAGCACAAGGAAG